CAATAGTCTTAAAATAGCCTTAATTTTCTCAATGTCTGAATTATAGTAAAAGGTGTGTTATTCAGGTCACCTGCAAATTGTTAATTGCAAAAGTACATACAGTGATGTATTCATTTTGCATTCAATTGATTTGAAATTAAAAGCCGTGTCATCAGTCGGGATGCTATTCAGTATGGTAGATGGATGTCTGCATGATGTAAATTGTTGCAACCTCACGGCTGCTGTAGCTGGCTCAACCTGGTCACACCCTGGAGCTAGGAAACGTCCCATTTTTCCAATCCTAATCTGGAGTGATAGTGTGCACTTGCTGCAACATTTTTTCCTGCTGGCGCTGTTACAAGCCTGCCCTCTACATGCATAATAACCATGCAATTCTACCCCTGACAGATACTTGCTATAATCTCTTTGAAAACCAGCATTTGCACAATGGGGGAAGTCTTGAAGCTGTGGCTTTGATTAACATGGAGAAATAGAGAGGGGCTTAATTGCCTGGACATCTATGCCAACACCTGAATAGGTGTCGCTTGTATGCGCTATATTATAGTGAGTAAAACTACACTGTCTTATGGAAATATCTTGATTGATTTTCACTTATTTTATTAGGTGGCAGAACTTAATACACTACTTGCCAAAAGTTTGGTTTAATTTAATTACATTTTTTTATTTATTTGTTATTTATCTTTTTTTTTTTAAAGAAGTCTCTCATGCTCACCAAGGTTGCATGTATTTTATAAAAATACAGTAACAACAATAATAGAGAAATATTATTAGAATTTAAATTAGTTTACTCCAGTGATGGCAAGGATGAATTTTCAGCAGCCATTACTCCAGTCATTCAGAAGTTTGGGCTAAGATTTTATTTATTTATTTATGTATTATTATTTAAATAATTAAAAAAAAAATTAAAAATAAATGAATACTTTTATTCAACAAGGATGCATTGAATTGCAGTGAAGGTATTTATAATGTCACACAAAAAAATATTTCAAATAAATGCTGTTCTATGCTGAAATTTCTGTTCATCAATTAAACCTGATGAAAATGTATCACAGTATCACAAAAAGTATCAACATTATAATCATAACAACCATTATTAATAAATGAGCACTAATAATAATTCATAACAACTGAACACCAAATTGGCATATTGGAATAATTCTGTCAAGGATCGCATGAGACTGAAGACTGGTGTAATGGCTGCTGAAAATTCACAGGAAGAAATTACATTTTAAAACATATTTTAAAAACAAATACCCAGTTTTGAATCTGAATTTTTCCAAACTTTTGGCTGTCATGCGGTTTACTGTTATTTTAAGTGCCATATTTCCCACATAATCATTTATAGACAATATGTCATTTGTGATGCCATGCTCAGATTTCTAGTTTTCCTTGTTGGAACTTTCTAGTTATCCTTGTTGAATGATGCAGGAGCGCCAGGGCTGCTGGAAAGGCCTAATTTGCATATTAGATTATGTGTTTGTTTCAGCATTGTTTTCTGAGAGACATGTTCTGGTTGACTGATGCAGTGACAGCCCTTGTTTGCAAGCTAAAGAAGTTCAGTGGACATCCTGTGAGAAGCTTGAGGGAATCCTTAAGCAGGTTCCTCCACACTTGGATGATCCTGCTTCTCCTGTATGAGGCCTGGGCTTTGGCTCTCTAGCTATGTAAGACTCTGTAAGAACCAAAGCTTAGATCTGCAACAGCTCGTTGGGATTGAGGTTCTGCTCCACCCTACAGCACATTTCAATCAACAGAGTTGGAGTTTGAGACCAGCAAAACAAACAATTAGAGAGATGGTCAGGGATTTATTCGTACCTAAGGGTTGAAGTAAGCTCTGTTGATCATATCAAAGATGTTTGTTTGCACTGGAGACACAAGCGAACAATTTTTTTTGTACAAGCGAACAATTTTTGTTTCTAACTAGTTTATTTATTTGATTTATTTATTAATTTATTTTTTGTATTGCATGGCTACTATGATGTAGTTTCAGGATTGTTAAAAGCACTATCATTGCATATTATTTTGCCACATAGTTGAATCTGTCATATCTGTCACACACGTCACATATAATAATGTATCTTTTTATTTTTACACAATTTGTTTTTTATTTTAAAATAAAATGATAAGTTATGTAGAAAATAATTTATAAATAAAAAATAAATTTTACTAAATTTTATTTGAATTAAATTAATAATTATTTTTTTTGTTTCTTTGTTTACTCTAGTACAGAAATGGTTATCTAATTTGAATCGCCATTTAGAATAATGGAAATAAATTTGCTAAAAATCGACTCTCCCTCAGACTATCCGAGATTTACAATTTAGCATGGCATCACTTGCTCAATGGAACCTTTCCAGTGAATGGGTGCCGTCAGAATGAGAATCTAAACAGCTGATAAAAACATTACAACAATCCATGTGACTCCAGTCCATCAGTTAAGGTCATTGTGAAGTAAAAAGCTGCATGTTTGAAATGAACAAATCCATCAAGGAGTTTCAACTTTAAACCATCGCTTCTGGCCAAAATACCAGTCCATAATCCATAATAACGCTTCCTCCAGTGGAAAAAAGTGCATCTCCTGTTGTCCTCTCACATCAAAATTCACTAAAATATTTGTTTAGAGCTGTTTTGGACTGTTTTCATTTGTAAACGGTGCTTGGTCTGTGCATATTTCTCTCCTGATTCAGACAAGACATCTTTTTCACTGGAGAGATCAA